AATTTGACATCGAATGTTACGTAAAAATGGCTTCAGAAGTACTAGAACTGTACATCATTTGCAAATATACCTAAATCTAGAAAATATACCTCAAACTAGAAAATTCAAAGTGTCCTTGTTAATCTATGGAATACTTATTCCCTGTTTTTTTTTCTATTGCAGATAGTGGTGATATAGTTTTAGAGTAGGCAGGGAGAAATCCTGCAGGCAGCTCATCGTCCCTGTCCTGCCGAGATGGATTGATTGATGTGAAGGGCAAGAAATTTGGAACGATCTCTAAAAGCATGTAAAACAGAAGTAAGTATCTCTTTAAAAGGAAGAAATGAAGAAACAATAATTTTTAAAAGGATAACAAATGGATTAGCAGGTCCTTGGCCAACTTCAGATTACAACCTATGACCAACCAAACAAATGATGCCATATAAAGATTCTGATTCCCTTACCAGCTGTGCTACAGCCAGTCCTTGAAAGGTTTTTGCTTTTGCAGCAATGAGGTCATAACTAAAACCTTTGCAATGATTATTTGTATAGTTTATGTATACAATCTAATATTAGTTTTGGGTCTGAGCATTCAAAGCAAGCTTGTGCCCTTGTTAATCTATGAAATTCTCATATCTTGTTTTTTTCTATTCCAGATATTGGTAATATAGATAATACAGTGTTAGGGTAGGCAGGGAGTAATCCTGCAGGGAGTTCATCGTCCCTGCCCTGCCGAGATTGATTGATGGGTGTGAAGGGCAAGAAATTTGGAACAATTTCTAATGGGCATGTAAACAGAAGTAAGTATCTCTTTAAAAGGAAGAAACGAAGAAATAACAGTTTTTAATAGGATAACAAATGGATTAGCAGGTCCTGGGAAAAACTTCAGATGATAACATGTGACCAACATCTACTTGGCTTTACCAAAGGAATGACGTCATATAAAGATTCTGATGATCTTAGAATTTGTGCTACAGCCAGTCCTTGAACTTTTTGCGTTTGCAACAATGGGGTCATAACTTAAACCTTTGCAATGATTATTTGCACAGTTTAGTTAAGCAGAGTATGTATACAATCTAATATTAGATTTACCTCTTCGCATTCAAAGCAAGCAAGATAAGATAGTACCTATCTTTTTGGTTTTTCATCATCGGTGATGCAGGGTAGATCGGCTAACATGGAAAAATAGTTTAGTTCTTTTCATTGGGCAATTAGCTTAGGTCCTGTTTGCTACAGGTTGTACACCTTAAGGATCCCTTAAGAGCTGGATTGGAAAGTATGTAGTATGGAATCTTGGCAAAATTTCCCTCGTTGTACACCACAGAGCAGGGAAGTTTTTCAAGGCGAAAAGTCAAGCTGGCAATGAAACATTTAGGATGAGCAGTCAAATTCTCTTGTGTTTTTCAGATATGGGTTGATATGAATGAAACAGTTTTTACTGAGAACATATATCTGGTTGTCAAGATAGCTTCGTCCAGGTCAACTTAGCTGCTGTTTGTATTCAGCTATTGTATTAGTTAAACACTCGGTTTTATTTCTTGTTTTTCGTAACAGAGATCTTACAATCATTTATTGAGACTATTACATCTGATATTTTAGTCTAAAAGTCGTGTAGAGCTATAAGTAAAGATTTGTATTATTATTTTTCAGTCAAAGTTATGTTATGGCTAAAGTTATAGAAACAATAGATATAAAGATAGATAAAATAGAGAGTGTTGTAGTTATATCCTGAAGAAAGAAAGAGAATGAATGAATGAAAGGAGAGATTGCTCAAGATATTGGATTGTATTGATAACGCGTCATGACATTTAAGATCACTTTGATAACGCGTCATGACATTTGAGATCACTTTGATTACGCGTCATGACATTTAAGATCACTTTGATTACGAAACGATTGAAATAATGCTGTAAATGTTTTTCGACATTTCTATCAAGGTCACAGTGACAAAAGAAAGTATTTGCCCTGTTTGAAGAACATGGAAATCATAATGTAAGAGGATTTGTCTGCTGCCCTGATTGTGTGGAATCATCATGCAGCAATAATGTTAGATTAGAATGGTTATATTGGCTATGTCTTTGACTGTTATAATTGTGAGAATGTTACTAATGAAATAAATTGTTTTATCTAACCAATTCTTATTTTCTAGTTTAACTTCTGCATGTTGCATGTTGAGGCCACAACACTTTTTCATTTGATTTGATCACGCTTGTTTTTTTGGCTTTGCTGTCTACACTTTTGTAAA